ATATATATATATACTGATCAGTTTATATCAGTATGTTGAATTTTTCCAGAGGAAAAATGGGAAGTTGTGGTTTATTAATTTTCCAGGAATACATTTCACAAACTATCACACTTCAACAGGGAACAATCAGTGGTTCTTAAAGTTAGGGTCGGGACCCCTTTGTGGGTCATGAAACATTAAGTGAGGGCCCCCAGATAATATTCAGACATCAGGTTAAATGCAAATAACTTATTAATGAAATATTGTCACCATAATTATAAAAAAACACTAATCATAATGGAGTAAAATTGCTATCATAGTTATTAGGTTTGTTTTGATTGTTATTATGCCCACATTTTTAACCAGAAGCTAAAAAGTTTGAAAACTACTTTTCCACAAAGTTTTTACTTTAATTATCACTCCTCTCATTTGGCAAAAATATTGTCCTCAGTTTGTTGATTTTCATTGCTTTCATCTGACGCAGACTCGACATTAAACAAGCTGCAGCTCCAACACAAATCCCTGCAGTCTGATCCAGCAGTCAGAACTCATAAATTATAAATTCATGAAGATTATGATGAATAGTTTTAATTTCAAGAGGCGCTGATTCAGCTTCTTGACCGTTTGAAAGCCTGCTGAAAATGCCGAGTCATGTTTGTGTTTGTTTATCCCGCTTATATAAATCAGAATAGATTACTGTGTTTTATTTCTTTGTGCTTCCTCTCTTTTTTTTAACGTTAATTTGTCTGCTCTATCTCTTGCAGCCTCTTGCACAGTGGTGCAGGCTGCTGCCCAAAGATGCTGCCAAGATGCCGGAGAGTGCGTGGAAGCTGGTCTTCTACACCATGTCGTGGTCCTACAGCAGCTACCTGCTCTTCTTCACCTCCTACTCCTTCTTCCACGACCCTCCCTCTGTCTTCTACAGTAAGACGTTGAACAGTAAACAGATTATTTACTCAGTGGTTTGTCTGGATTTCGCAAAAAAAGCAACAAAAACACTCAACTTCATGTCAGTGAAGCTAATCCATTTCTTCTGGTCTAATCTTGTTAGATAAACCTGGGGTTAGGTTTCTGGGAAGATGAGATGCTGAGGATACTTTATAGAGTAACTCTGTAGAGATTTAGTTGGGGATTTAGAGCCATTTTGATTACTCAAATAGGCAGAGATTTACATACTGGACGTGCAGTCTGATGATTTATATCCTGTGCGTTTAATAGCTCACCCATTAGCAGTTTTGAGTTTATTTAAATTCTTTCTCATAATTAACATTTACAAAAAAAAACATTAGACTTCATGCAACAGTTGCAGCACAAGCTCTTTATAATAGTAGCTAATGGAGACCAGTTCTTGCAGACTTGTTCACGTCTAATGGAGGATGGATGTTCTCCAGGGATTTTACGTTACATTTAGTCTTTTATCGTCTCTCCGCCTGCTCCATCAGACACGGACGTGTCAGCGCTCACAGAGGGTATCTGACAGCAGGAGGCTCGTCTTTAGCGGCTACGTCACCATTAATAGTTGTCTCAGTCTAAGATGTGTGGACGTGCAGAGTAATAGAGCTCGACTGATGACGAGGGGGAGGCTAGAAGAGAGACAACGCTGTTAAAACAGTTTGGGAAATTCAGGATTGTGGCGTTTCGGTTTCCTGAACAATCCTGGCAGCTTCTCTGCTCCGCCTGACAGACCTCTGCTTAATGTTTAATGACGGCAGGGCCGAAGCAGGAGAAACCTCATCCTGCTGAAGACGAACCTTGTTCAAACATCGGAGGAGAAAGTTTCCGTCCAACACCTGATAGGCCTCGGAGCCGTGAGCCAGCCCGGCCTGTCCCAACAAGCTTGTTTTCCTTTAGAAACCCCCCTGAATGCTGCTGAGGGTAAAACCTGATCCTTCCAGCTGATCCTCATCATCCAGCTGCACATTAAAACACTTACTCTGAATTATCCAGACATACTGCAGCAGTGGACACATACCTCTTAAAGGCAGATCCTGTCCTTAATGTCTCATGTCCCCCTCCTCCTGCTTCTTCAGACTGGAAGAGCGGTATGACCGTGCCTACAGACATCGCCGTAGCCTACTTGATCCAGGGCAGCTTCTACGGCCACTCCATCTACGCCACCATCAACATGGACACGTGGAGGAAGGACTCTGCTGTCATGGTGGTCCATCACATCATCACGCTGGCACTCATATGCTTCTCTTACGCCTTCAGGTATGTTGTGCTGTTTGGTAAAGGTTTGATTTATGGCGATTCGCCACAAAACTCCCACTCGCAGCAGGACGGGTCCTGAAACTGAGACAGATATTCCAAATGAAGTGTTCGATTTAAAGCAGGAACAGTTTATCTTTAGACTGTGCTCTCCGACCTGCAGGTACCACAACGTGGGGATTCTGGTGTTGTTCCTGCATGACATCAATGACGTCCAGCTGGAGTTCACCAAGCTCAACGTCTACCTGAAGTCCAGAGGAGGTGGCTATCACCTGATCAACGATGTGCTGTCTAACATGGCCTCCGTTAGCTTCAGCATCACCTGGTGAGCTTCTTGGACACGTGTCAAACTCAAGGCCTTTTTATGTGACCCACAGGAGCTTCAAAGTTGTGTTAAAGTCTTAAAATAAGCATATGATGCTTTAAAGCCAGCGTTGACTATAAACTACATCTCCCATAATGCACGTCAGTTATTTTACCCGCATAATGGGGCCATCCCAGCACGAGGTGGAGGTGCACAGGGTTCAAAATTAGCTGGCAGCCTGCGAAAATTTGTTGTGTAAAATCTTTCTTTTGCTGCATTTTTGCTGGTTATTTTTGCTGCGGCCCAGTTGTACTGGGAAGTGGGAATGTCCCACTTACAAGTTGTAAATTTAAACTGGAACGCACCTCCAGTGGGAATTCCCTGTGGGAGAGTGGGAGAGTTCAGACTTCAAGACGGCGTCTACTCACCACAACTCAGCAGTGTGTTAAACCATTTAAAAAACATTTTTTATTTTTACTTTTCATAGTATTTCTGTATTCAGGGTGTCTGCAGGGTTGTTACAGCTATTAAAGGTAGTAAATGTAATTAGCAAAAAATTAGGGCCATTAAACTGGGTTAAACATCATCTGACTAGGCATTAATTTTTTGAACTAACTAAACATTTTTCCCCTCTGTCTATTCTAAAAATCCATCCTGTAGGTTTATGGTTAAATAATAGTTGTATACAGGTGAGTGTTTTTATTGAGGCAAAGAAATGATTATGTATCCAGTACTGTAATAATACTACCCTTACTACAAAAGTTCAATAAGATAATGTCACAAATCTATTACTTTATAATTAGTTTCCTCCAACTGAAGTTCAACAGATTGCAGCTCAAAGTCGTGTTAGTGTTGAAAAATATTGTGACTTTATTAAAAAGGTATTAAAGTGCCTGTGACCTGCTTATCCTTCAGATACAAAAAGTCAAAAAAAACTTTGTTCTACTTAAGAAACTTGGCATACCACACATTATTTTACACATTTGGACACATAACTGACCTATTTTCTTTTGAACTTGGCTCAGCAAAAAGGGAAACAGGAAGTGACATCAAAGGAGGACTCCTTTAAGAAAAAGAACTCACTGGTCTTTGTTTATTGAAACATTATGATTTGAACTCTGATTCTTTTATTTGTTTCTGTCTGATAGCGACTCAAAATAATCTAAAACATCAGATTCCTCTCCACAGTCTGGACTGTAGAGCGTTTTAGCTTAGCTCTGTTTTCATGCAGATATTCCCCTGTGACATCACTTCCTGTTACGTCACATGCAAATATCTCAGCAGCGTGAAAATAATCTTGTAATATGTTCTCAGTGTTATCCTTCCAAAAATGCATTTGTATTATTACAAAAAATTGATGTCACAGTATGTTTAAAATGTATTAAATTTAACTTAAGAATTTCTGTTTATATTCTTTAATTCACATTTAGTCAGTCGTATATGTAGTATTTTTAAAACTCTGTTTCTATGCAGGAAACACCACATAGAGCTCTGTTAGTGCTCAGCTGTAGCAACGAGACGAGGTTAGTTAAAGTTAATTACAACTGGGCCTTTGAGGACCACTAATAACGCTCGCGTGGCCCTCTGTGAAAATGAGTTTGACCCCGCCTCCTCTAGGACTACTTCCTGCCGTGTGTTTGTTCCATCATTTTTGCTGTCTCTCCACTCATGAAGAGACATTTCTGTTTGGTTTCTGCCAGGTTCTGGTTTCGCCTCTACTGGTTCCCCCTTAAAGTTCTGTACGCCACATGTGTGTCCAGCATCCAGTCGGTCCCCAACATTCCCTTCTACTTCTTCTTCAACACGCTGCTCTTCGCCCTGCTGCTCATGAACATCTACTGGTTCTTGGTGAGGACAGTCAGATTATTTTATATATTCTTTATTTATTTATTTTTTCTTCAACTGAAGCTAAAACATTGCCCTCCTCTGCTTTGTGCAGTTTATTGTGATTTTCGTGGTGAAGCTGCTAAAGGTGAAAGAGGTGAACGACGTTAGAGAGTATGAAGACGAGGACGGCAAGAAGTCGGCTGCTGAGCTGCTCAAAGAAAACTGTGACGATGATGATGATGCTGGACATCACAACTCTGCTCAGAGGTGAGGTGCATTTTTAGCTTTTATCCCCCCGCCACCGTCAATAAATCTTTAGTTTTATGACAAATCAAAACGGACACAGCGGTTTTATAGGTTTGCAAACACAAACTAAATGTTATGAATGATTTTACTGTTGTACAACCACGAACGGTTTCCTAAACTTAACAGGAACTAAATACTAAACCAACTTTATAAGCTGTAAGTTGGTCTGATTCTGCAGCCGAAATGCGGTTTCTGTCTTGTTTTGCTTTTTTGATATAAATCAGAACGACACAGTCGAGTTGAAAGATTGCGACAGAAATCCTGTCGTCTGCAAAGATTACACAGATTTTATATTTTTTACACAGTGGAGTTTTTTTAGTACTTTTTATAAAAGCTGTGGCGTCTGCACATTGCAGAAGTGAGCTTTAACCAAGAGAATGCTGACTAAAAGCAAAGAATATCTGTTTATTTTTTATCTGAAGTTACCTTTAATCTTGTGGCTGACAGTCGTTTGGGCGTCACTATCATTGTGGCCTTTGACCCCTGCAGATTTGAAGACCCTAAAGTGTTTCAGCCCCTCCCACCCTTCAGATTATACTGACTGGAGAGAGTTTTGTCCAAGCTCTGCTGGCAGAACAAGCAGTAGATTGGATCAGAAAAACCAGTTACCACAGAGATGTGATTATGTGGCGTTCCTTATCTGGCCGGCCTTGAACACCTCAGATATCTAACCGTCACATACCTGAGAGCTGGTCACCTCCCACATCTTATCCTTCTTTCTCTCTCTCTCTCTCTCTCTCTCTCTCTCTCTCTCTCTCTCTCTCTCTCTCTCTCTGTGCAGGAAGCACACGCAGAACGGTGTGACCAAAGACAAGCATCTATAACAGGCTCTCCATCGCCCCCAGCTGGCTCCTCCTCCTCCAACACCGGTGTGTTCAAACAGAAGAGCGTCCAAATAAAAAGAGAGTAGAAAAAAAAAGGAAAATGTAGGTTTTTCTTTTAGTTTTTTTAGAGCCTTTCATTTCCATCTGATTAGAGCACTGTGAATGCTACTTCAGCTGACTTGTTGTCTTACCGTCGTTAGGGCTGGACTCTGACTTCACCCTTAAGGGAGAGTTTAGATCTGCTCTGAACAAACATCCTGTTTGTAATATGAGGGAAAACAAACAAACAGCTCCTTCATCCTCCTCTTTAACCTCCATCCATCCATCCATCCATCCACCCATCCACCCATCCACCCATCCATCCATCCATCCATCCTCTGAGCCTGAACACATGGAGAGGAACTCTGGTGGTGTACGGGAGTCTGCTTGGCGTTGTCCTGAGCTGCTTTCATTTTTACGTCGTAGTACAAAGTCAGTGTTGATCACCACACGTTTCTGGTTCTTTTGAACCCAGAAGCCAGGGACAGTATTTGCATGCTTTAGAATGTTCAAAGAGTGGCTGCAGCTTTTAAAAGAAACAAACAATAAAAAGCTTTTATTTTGTAAGATTTAAACTGAGAGTCCGGCTCTTGAAGTGACGATCGTGGATCATTCACTTGGCATTCCTGTTTTATTACTTTGTTTGTGCTGCAGAGCATCTGCCGCTGCACTGATATGAAGGCAAACAAGCTTATTGCTGGTTTAATGACAGCAAAAAAAGCTAGAATTGATTGACTGGGTGTTTATTTTAAACTGATATATAAATCATGTTTTCGACCAGATCATGACGGGGGGAGATCGCCTAAAAAGATACAAATCAAGAGTAAACGTCTTTGAATGCATGACTGGAAATTTGTCAAAAATCCTCCGACTTCTTCCAAAGCATCTTGTGGTTTTTAAATACGAGTCTAAAGTCTCCGACCCAGAAAGCAGAGAGAAATGAGTTTCAACTCCGGGGAAAGGGATAGATTTTATTTGCTGCATGTTTCTCTCAGTTCTACCTCCTCGATCAAATTCCAGCTTTTGTTTGGATGAACAGCATGCTTGTGCTGCTTGAGCGCGCCGCAGGTGTTAGAAGTTCGTAGATTTAAAAAAAAAAGGGCGGGAGGCGTCTGTTTTCGTTTCGTCTTCCAGACTCCACAAATCAACGTTTCAATTAAGTGTAGACAGTTGTTCATTTTTAGATTTTTTTTCTTCTGTCGAGTACGAATCAGTGCTCCGATCATGTTTTTTCAGGGACCAGCTTCATCTCCGTCAACATCTGGATCCGTGCTGACTTTACTGTAATCCCCGCACATCTGTACCGCTGATCCAACACGTTTAAACCGTAAGAACGGATCTGTAACGTGGACCAGATGTTCTTAAAGTCTGTCAAAGTTCTGCTCAACCTTGGAGTCAATAAAAGCAGCGCAAACGGATCCTAGACGTCTTCTCAGACGCCTCTACTCAACTCATCACGGTTTACACACCTCAGGGGATTTCTGACGTCTGTGGACATTTTTAATCAATAAGCTTCTTTTTATCTTTTTCCACTCTAAAATACTGCGTTTCTATTGATTTACCCCCAAACGAAGCAGGGGTGGAGCTAGACCTTTTGCAAGGGGTGGCCTAGGTCTTTTAGGGTGGGGCACATACGATTAAAGAAAACTACCCTGGATTTGGAAATTCAAGATGGCCGCCACAGCCAATTTTAAATGGCTCTAAATCAGCTGTTGTAAGATACAATGAACTGATTTGTGACTGTATATAAGAATGATCCAACATTTGTTATGCTGTTAGCCAAGAGCAATCCCCGTGACATTTTGAAAACTAAAGTTTAAGCTAAGTGCTAAAGCTAACTGGAGCAAAAGTTATGTTTCAGCCAATTTTAGACACATAAAACGGAAAATCGGTATAATAGTAGCCGACGATAATCCTCAATATATTCTGAATGCAAATTGAAAATTTAAGATGGTCACCTCAGTTAATTCCAAATAACTATAAATCAGACAATTTTAGAGCCACTGAGCTGTAACTTGGTGTGTTGGTAGCTGAGAGTGATCCCTAATAGACTGCAAATCAAAAATGGCCACCAAAGCAAATTTTAATGGCAACAACATACATGTCAAGATGTACGGATTGTCTGTAATTTACAGTTTCCTTCATCTTTCAGGTACACGGAAATATAGAGCAATCTCACAGATTTTTTCATGTTTTACTTATTTTTTCAAAAACTCAGTTTCAAATTTATTTAACGTCAGAGCCTGCAGGACGTAAAAATAAATAAATAAATAAATAAACCCAACAATAAATAACATCAAATTACCACCTTCCAACCTGCTTTGCCGCCAGACAAGTTCTCCCGTCCTCATTTCCTCCTTTCTTTGCACTGCTGCAGGTGCTGTCATCTCGACAAACGGCCGTGTGATTGATACGGATTTCTTGCAGAAATTACAGATTTTTGAGTCTCATTATACAGATTAACGTTTGAAGGGGTTGACATGTACAATAAACCTAGCTCTTTTTGGACATGTTGAGCTTAAATCTGGTGTGGCAGGAGCTCCGGTCACTAACATACAGTACAGTCAAAATTATACATTTAAAATGGTGGCCACATGGCCGTCAGAGTTTTTAATGAACTTTTCTAGTTGTTCGATGTTCTTGCTACGTTACAGACTCGCTGCTAGATGCTGCCCAGTTTTCACTAACGGGTTTTTAAACAGAATTATTACATGTAACGGTTGATTTATATTAAACTAGTAGTTTTTGTTTCCTCTTGGTGAGACAAAACAGCTGTTTGACAGGTACCTGCTCCATTTTTGCTCTAGAACTCATCTTTAATTTCCACATGTGATCCCCGCCCACCTGTCAATCATTTTAGGGTGGCCAATCAGGTGCCACCCCTCTGGCTCCACCCCTGAAATTATCGAGTTCCTAAGGAAAATGGTGAAGTCAAATTACAAAACGATGCGCATTTATGCAAAAAATTATTCGTTTTAGCTGATACACTAAAGATTCATTGATTCAACCTCTCAACTGTTCGGTATCGGCTCTGATTTGTCAAGATCAGCTAAAAAAAATAATCTAATCATATTTGATGTCTGCACAACAAAAATCCAATCGAGCAAAGCGTCCCGCAGACGGAGCAGTCAGCTGTTTTTTGTTTGTTTGCGTCGACTGCAGTGACAAGCTGAGACTGGGCTTTGGACAATCATTGCTTTTATTGAGTTTTGTAATCAGCAGTCGAACACCAAACCAGTCCATACTTCCTGAGTCACTATTAACAAATAAAAAGAGAAACTTTGTGCAGAAAGTGAGAGTCTAAAGACTGAACATCCTCATTTTTTCCATTAAATCTCTTCTTTGATGCTATAATTGTGCCAAAATGTCCATGTTTTTCTGACTGAGCTGGTTGAGGTGTGACGGGTTTTAAAGCCCTGCAGGTATTTCTCACACATCGCACTGTAATTTATTATTAGTATTATTATTTTTATTGTTTGCGATCAGAATGATAAAGGGAAGATCTGGGCAATATTTATTGACGATAAATTAATGATAAACTAAACTCTTTGAATTATTCTATTTAACTTTTATTTTTCAGATTAAATGTTTTCTGATTGATGACTACTTGAGATCAGATCTGTATTTGCTCTTTTGTAATACAGTTTGAGTTCCTGTCAATGTGTTGTTTTTATTTCCTCATGAAATAAAACATGTCGGTAAACAACGACAGAGGCATTCTGCTGGTTTTCATGGTTTTATTTTCTGTCATGATCAACAGATAATTCATTGCAAAGATCAAGTGTCACGGCTGAGGTGAAAACAGGATTTCGAGATCATTTCAGTGCACAAAAAAACAAATGGCAGCAATAAATTAAAGTCCTGTCACTGGGATGGGATCAGGGGTCATGCAGAAGCAGAGCAAAGCAGATAAACACCTTAAAAATCAATCAATATAACGCTAACGTTATTTATCCCAACATTATTGCTCATTTTAGGACGTTCAGTTTTTAATTTATCAACTTAAATCACTCAAAAATATATATATATTTTCAACAAACAGGGTCACACACCACACGATCTGATCGAGTAAAAAAAGAAAAAAAAATTCATGTTTGCTGCCTGGGATCTTCTGCAGTCAGATGTTTTCAACCCCCCTACCACCATCCAGAATCAAAAATTAAATTAGAATTTAAAAAAAATAAAAGCATTAGCAGGAAAACATAAATCATAACACCTCAGTCTCCAAAAAGGCAACGTAAAGAATAAAGACATGAATGCATGAAGTGGGTTAATTTCTACACAAAGATAAAAAAAAATGTCACATTTCACACGTTTTTTTTTTTTTTGTCTGTAAACAGTATTTTTGTGTGAGGGGTTTGTTTTCACAGAGCGTCTTCTAATTTTAATAATATTCACGTGCTCATGTTTATTCTTCGATGGCTGTAATCAAACATCAGCAGGAAATTAGTAATTAAACTGCTATTTGTCCGACATTTAATTAAGTTGATGTCAAATAAACTGATAACAAAAGAAAGAAATGTTTATTTTTCCAGACACTTGGAATTTTATAAAGGTGATTCCACAGACTGATAAATTAGAAAACTCACTTCCTGTTTAAAAAACATATTGATCAAAACCAGAGGTGTATACTAACTAAATTCACTTTGTAACAGTTCTCAAGTCACTTTTTTAAAATCATAATTTTATTTTGTTGCATTCAAAACATAAAAATTATGCTTTTACTTCTTCACCTTAAAATTTAACACCTAGTTATGACTTTAATTATGATTAGAACTGCTCATAAACAGAGCTGTTTGTGCACTCTAAAACATGATGTGTTGGATTGACTTCAAGTTACAACAACTGGTTCCAATAAACCGAGTTGAAACATTTCCTTTAACCCGGTTTTGTAGAACCACTTCACATAACTTGGTTGAATAAAATCAACATTTTTTAGAGTGCAATTTTATATCTTTTACTTAATTATCGTTTTTTAAAATCAGTGAAATTAATTTTGACCAATCATTTTCTGTCAAAGTATTTTAACTTAGATATTTTTGTCCAAGTACTTTATAAACCTCTGATGAAAACACAAGTGTTGTTTTTTTTTTTTTTTTTTACTTCAGGAAGACTTCAGTAAAAATCAAAAAATCTTTAACTTTTTTAAGTTCACGTGAGCGTTTAAAGAAGTGAGAGAAACCAGAATCTGTTCTGTTAAAGACAGAGACAGAGGTGAGCTCTGTGCGGTCCGTTTCTCTCTTTAGCTGCCTAATAAACACGACACCGCACAACGCTTGGTGACAGGAAGTGATCATCAGCACAAAAACCTCATGAAAAACTGCAATGGTGTCAACAAGGATCTCACAAAAACAACACGAGTGAGGAGTTTCAAATGAACGCAAAGACAGAGAGAAACGAGATTCCTGACGGTTCTGGTCCATCAGACCACATGGAGGTGAGGGGGAAAAAAAAAAGTTGGCAGCAAGACAGGATTTGACATCATCGTTTGTGCATCCGGATGAAGGAAATGGAAGTGAGCTGGTCGGAGGGAGAACAGCAGCTCGGTCGGGCTTCACTCTTCTTGACAGGAGCGTCGGGATCAGAGGGAAAACACGAAGCTTTAATGGACCTTGGTTTTGGGCTGGGTGATTCTACGGACCACGCTGTAGAGGACTGCAAAGTTCTGCAGAGAGAACAAATGATTCAGCAGTATTTACTTTACCGACACTCGAGCTTTAACGTGCGAAAAGCAAATGAAAACTCAGTTCGTGTAACCACTTTGATATTTCTGTAAGGGACGTACCTGGATGGCCAGGTACATCATCCCTAAGTAGGCTGCGATGCAAACAGCCAGCAGCAGGTCAAAAATAGCCGGCTTCACTCTGAGGAAGAGAAAAAAAAAGGAAAATCAAGTCCATCATCCCAATATAATGAAACAAATACAGGCTGAGACAAAAGTCTCAGGACTTTTTAATTTCAGAAACGAAAGGGAAAATAAAATATCAAAATACCAAGAAGTGTGTGTGTGTGTGTGTGTGTGTGTGTGNGGTCTATCTTTTATGCTTTGGTCCAGAACATGGATGTCATCCTAAAGTCACAATATTGAATGAATGGCAAACCTTCCCAATAGGAAGGTGGTCATGAAGCGTATCGAAGAACACCTGAGTTGTATCAGAAATGTGTCGCCTCAACTAGATTTGTAACATCTCTTGTGGTTCTCTACACAGAAAGTTGCAACAGCAGCTGGAGGCTTTGCCTGTCACTTGATGTGTTCAGTGTGCTGTCCCTGGTGCTGAAACCCTCGTTATCCAGTAAACACTGCAGGTGTACGTCACTACAAACCTCTTAATTTAAAAACATAAGTTCTGTAAAAGGAAATAAAGACAGAAGCATCGGCTGAGCCCTCACCTGTAAGCATTCATCGTCTGCTTCAGCTGGTCGTAAAAAACAAACTCTGGATCTCTGAGGGACAGAAATTTGAAAGCATCATGAATAAATCTGCATGTTAGATCTGCAGCCCCTTTAATAGACATTTTGATTTAAAGGGATAAACATTTACTTCAACTGTAAAAATACTGTAGGCTTTTTAGTTTTTATAAAAGTTACAAATAAAAAGACATTGTCACACAGACAGTGTCATACTGTTTAAGCTGTACTGAGTAAAGGAAGATGGTTACTAGGATTTTTATTTTCCCCTCTGGTGCCAGCTTTATCCAGCTTGAACGTTAACTTTGTACCATGTGTGACAATCAGACTTTTTAAATAAAACCAGAGTGTTGACAGAGACGAGGACGTAGTGATGAACTGAAAATGATGGAAGGAGAACTTAGCTTAGCCTGTTAGCTTTCTCGTTAGCTCCCGAGCTAACATGTAAAATGTATATGGCGATATAGCATTATTTATATATAAACTAACGCTGCATATTTGTGACCCGTCACATCGAAATGAGGATTAAGTCCAAAAGTGGAATGTGGAAAAATAGGCAGATATAGGGGTTTGATTTTAACGTGTGCAAAAATTGCATTTTGTCAAAATGTAATGAATAAATGCCTTATCAATGTATTATTTGAATGAACTGTCTGAAATATAATCCTAAAAAACATTTTTGAAGCATTTTTTGAGCAGCAGCAACAAAAAAAAAACTGATTTTGAGGGAAAATGCCTTAAAATTTTAAGATTTTCCCTGTGAGCTAGCAATGTTTTTGTTTCTTTCCAACTGGGAAATCTTAGTATACAAATAATACTGTATGAGTTTTCCTCTATATTAACAAAAAAAAAAATTACTCAATAAATTTACATAAAATTAGGATTCAGACCAAACAGTAAAATATTATCATAACCAACAAGACCATTTAAGTCATATCTCTGGATAAGCTTATGATATCAGAATGATCCAGGTATCAAATTGTAGCTTTTAAAGCCAGAAACATGAAAATATAATTGTCATTTTGACCAAATTTGACTTAATCCTTATTTTGATATGATGGGTCACATTTATTAGTAATAATAACTGTGGCGTTAATTCTTGAGTTAACATTTTTAGCTTGGGAACTAACGCCGTGTGCGCTAACATGAAAGCTAACAGGCTAAACTGAGACAAAATTAATGTTGAAGCTGGAAAGAGCTCACAGCCTCGCACCGGCTGGTAGTGAACATCATCATTTACCCAGCATGCTTTGCAGGGGAAACAAAATGGTGCCCTGTGTGTGACCGTATTTTTTTGAATCTATAAAACCTAAACAGCTGAAGGAAAATGTTTATCAAATAATGTCTCATGTTACAACCAGAGTTCCCTTTAAAGCCTGCAGAACAAAACTTATTCCTAAAAGCTTACAAAAAAAAATAAAAACAATATATTTACAGTTTTTCTATTGACTCATTTCAACAGTTTTTTTTTATTTAACCTTTTGTCAGCTTTGACGTAGTGTCTTTTGACGTCCTTGAGGTAACGTCCCAGGTGATACTCCAGAGTGGAGACGAAGCTGCTGTCTTTGTCCACCAGCTGAGCGGCTCGAGGCTGAGCCGTGAGCCAGTCCACCACCGCTGACAGGTGCTCCTCCTGCACCTGCTGACGAGGAGCACACAACACAGCAAATTCATCCAATTACGCTCCGAAAGTCATCGGATCAAGAAGCGTTTTGTTCACTTTCACCAGTTTTAAACGTAAAAGTCAAATAAAAAGATTATTTTCAGCTCATTTCAGAGAGGGATGGGTGAAGTGACGTACCATTTGTTCTGTGAAAATCTGCAGGTCTCCAGGTGCTCCCTTTGCAGAAGAGTAAAGAATCAATTAAAACACGTTAAAAACCAAAATAAAATAAAAAAAATAATCAAACTGTCATCATGCATCAAAGCATTTTATTGACCTTTTCTGTGAGGTTGTAGATGACCCTGGCCAAAGCCTCTGCAACCACTTTGGTGTTCCTGCTCAGCTTGCTCACATCTACGTGAGGCCTGCAGGAAGCAAACAGGATTTTGTGCGGTTAGAGCAGAGAAGATGCTCAGAGGAACGCTGAAAAACACAGAAGAGAGTCGCAAAGTGTTTTCTCCCACGCAGGCCGGAGGAAAATTTAAAACGGAGACAACAGAGAACTAAGTCCTGAAAGAGAAAACAGAGAGCGAGCGCCACACTGAGGGGGAGAGTTAAACCCGGTGAGGGGACGACAGGCAGCTGGACACCAGAACAGCAACTCTTTGAGGTGATTTAAGCAGCGTGCAGTGGTGAACCCACCCAGCAGGGGGCTCTCCTGCTCCATGGTGAGAGGAGGGGGACACTGACCGCACGTCCATGATGCTGGAGCGCCGGGCGGAGCGGTGCGAGGGCAGGTGGGACAGCGTGAAGGCCGGCAGGCGGCGGATCCCGAAGCGCTCGTGCTCCCAGGCCAGCATGTCGTCGGCCAGGTTGATCTTCTTGTGGACCATGGAGAACCTCGCCTCGGGGTGCTGACTGGCCACCACCTGGGAGGAAACGATGACACAAATGAGTCCAGCGGCACCCCGCTGTTGTGATGCGACGGTTCAACCGTGCAGCGGGGGTTCTTACGGTCTCTAATTCTTTGAGCAGAGCATACTGAGGGGTCCCCTCTTTTGGGGGTTTGGACACGTGGAGGTAGATGGAGTCGCCGCTCCCCAGAGTGTCCAAACACAAAACAAACGCTACGTTGTCCTGCAGCAGGCTGGAGTCTGCCAACACACGGAAAAAATGATGTTTGTCTTAAAGGAGACAGAGAGTGTTGACAGAGAGGAGAAGGTAGAAATGACTCAGCCTGGAACTTAAAATATGGATGGAGGACAACAGAGCTGCTTCATGGAAGAAGAACCTCAGTTCAGCTTGTCGCGCTAGCGCCGACTTAATACATATAAGGCAATACAGTGTTGACGCTAAAGCTAACAGGCTAAGCTGAGGTTCTTCTTCCATGAAGCAGCTCTGTTGTCCTCCATCCATATCTTCAGTTACAGGCTGAGTCAGTTCTACCTTCTCCTCTCTGTCAACGCTCTCTGGTTTCATTTAAACGAGTCGATCATCAGATATTGTCCAAGATTAACCTTCAGGGTGGATATAGCTCACTCGCACCGATGACCTCTCCACGTCATCATTTACCCAGAATGCTTTGTGAGTAAATAAAATGGCTCCATCCGTGTTAAAATATATTTTAAAAATATTACAAAACTAACCAGCCTACAGTATTTTTACAGTCTTTATTTTACAGTTAAAATGTTTATCAAATAAAGTCTAATGTTACAACTAATC